ACTGTCAAATTTATAAATATTTGGTGGCTGTACTTGTCTCTTTTTTTATAGGGTAGGAGTAACTTTTCCTTGAAAGCTGGTTGTGGTTGTTATTCTGCTGGTTGATGTAACTTAGCGAGCTAAAGTTTCAGAATGAACACAGGAAATAATATTTTAGGGAATTCTTTGAAAGTCTCATATTTAATGTTAGTTTGAGTTTTATTATAGACACAGAATATTTTTTCTGTTTTTTTCTCTGTACCCTCCTGAAAGTTCATTAAATGCTTATTAATCTTCTGGGCTTATTAACAGCTTGTTATTAGCACMTCTAAGTCATAATGAAACTGAGACAAGTCAAGCAACATGAAATAAATRTGAAAGGCTGAGGGGACACAAGTACTTTTAAAAGATTACTTTAGGTTTGAAGGAATATCTGGAATTACATTACAATGAGAACAAAAGAGCAAACTGAGAGCTTTTAATTGTGGTGATCCCCTCCTCCTCTGTAAAGCCTTGAATTCTGTGGAGTTCAGTTTTATGTTCTGTGGGTTTTATTTGTTTTTTCGTTAGTGGAGAATCTCAGCAGTTTCTGCTGCATGGGAGAAGGATCTGAAACCCATTCTCCCATTAAGAACCTGAAGTTGTAATTGTGTTTGGCCCCTTTATATCTGAACATATTTTTTCTGTGAGATATTTATGCTTTAAAATATATTCCTTTCTGGCTGCCTYTTCATTTTCATTAGGTGTCTATGTATTAAATTATTTATATTGTAAAGTTTGTATTAAGTATTTGCACTTTTTGGTGTCTATAGTAACGATTCTGAAMATTTTTGCATTTCTTCCTTGTGTGTTTCTGCTTCTTGCAATTAGACCTTGCTGCAGCTAATGAAACATATGTGATTTGTTTGTTTATGCCTGAGGACTGAACTTGCTACTGAATAATGCAAAAACATGTGCAAGGACAAGTGTGGTGGATGGAATCAGGAATGTGGGCACCCAGGATCCATCAGCAGAGTCAATTCAAGAGGTGTTGAAGCTCTGGCTCTGCCTGCTTGGCCCAAGTGGACACAGGTTTGTTATCTCGCGTGGATTTTTACCTCAGAATTGAAATTAAAATAAGCTGGAGGAGTTGAGGTATTGATATTCTGTTTGGTGGAATGCAGCTGTGTGCTCTCCTGCCCTGTGCTGGCTCTGAGCAGGATYATCTCTGCATCCCTCTAGAAAAGGCAGTGAATGAACACCCATGTTCCACTTTCAGAGGAGTTAAATGCTCAAAACCAGGGCTGGGACAGAAATATTCCACTAAAACCCATCCTGTGAGATTTCCAGGCAGCTTCTTGTTTAGGAAAAGGCTAATATATAATTCTACCTGAGGTCCACAATCTGAATTTTTTTTTTTTTTTCCTGACACATCTATTCATTACTAATCATAGAATCACAGAATGGTTTGGGTTGGAAGGGACCCTAAAGATCCCCTTTTTCCACCCCTGATATGGGCAGGGACACCTTCCACTGTCCCAGGGTGCTCCCAACCCCAYCCAAACCAGCCTTGAACACTCCAGGGATGCATCCACAGCTTCCCTGTGCTGCCTGCTCCACTGCCTCCCCCTCCTTACAGTCTAAACCTAGTCCACACTGAGAAATATTAATTTAATCTTCATTTTAAAACAATATATTTTTTTTTCAAGCAGAACAGATAAGACGGAGGGAAATCCAGTTTGTTTAATTATAAGGTATCAACATGCTGCAGACTTATATTAGTGGATTAGATTTTCTCCCAGAAATAACTTCAGTGGAATTACATCATAAGTAAATGCAGTCCAGTTCATCTWATAATTACATTTGGAAGTGCAGAAGTGGGGAAGAATGGAGTCATATCCATCTCACATAAAAAATTCTGCCTTTGATGTTTATTTGAGAAACTGCTCTGAYTTTTACAGCAGCAAAGAGGGCCCAGAAGTTGCATTTTCTTTATCCTCAACACCTGTTTTTGTCTGGCATCTGCAGCGATGCGCTGGTCCCGTTCTGCTCATAAACTCTGGCAGGTTCAGTGTGTGATCTGTGCCCCAGCAGAGGCTCCAGCTCTGCAATTAATGCCYCACAAATGAGGAATTTGCCTTGGGCACGTCCTTGTGATGCTGGACTGGCCATCTCTGCTGCTCCCTGCATTTCAGAGCAGAGCTGAGTGCCTTGAGTGGCACAGGACATGCCCACACTGTGCCCACATTGTGCCCACACCATCCCTACAAATCTCTGAGGATCACTCCTTCAGTGCCTCATATTTTACTGGGAGTTGAATTTTACATTATTGGCCGTGGTATCAGCCAAATGTCCTCTATGGGGATGGTTTTGTTCAATCAACAGGCAGGAATTAACCCCAAGCCTTTCTGCCTGGTTGTGGATACAGAGTGATTTTCCTGCAGTAAGGAATTCAGTTCTGCAGTGCAATGTAGCTCCTATTTATTTSATTTATATTTATTTATCCTTTCTAATTATCTAAAATTGTCATTCTTTTATGTAGCACCTCGTTATATATTTACACAGAAAAAAAACCTCAACATTTCATACTTTCCAAATGCAAGTTCATCTTCTGTACTTAAGGAAATTTCCACTGATGAATATTCTTTCCAAAACCAGCCTAATGAACATAAAAAATGAGTGGATATTTTTTCCCTAAGGAAATATCATTAAAACKAATGGACACTATATATTTGTAAGCAATAACTTTGATGAGATATTAATGTTGTCTGTAAAGCAAAGGTCAGTGGCTCTTTAACACCASTTTTCCCAGAGGAATTGAAGTCCTGCCTTGCAAAGTTCAAATATTTTATCCAAAGATTTGATAGGTAAGCTCTCATTAAGGTGCAATGGTATGACCTTACAGTCTCTTTTCATCATAATCAGAAAGCTCAGTATGATTTATTCAATAAAATTAAAAATCCTTTTTGCTAGTAGACTTTTTTTCTTAATAGAACAAACAAGCAAATAAAGTTAGGGACTTTCCTTCAGGAAATCTGCAGATGTCGGATTAACAGTAAACCAGTCCATCCAGATAATTTTATTATTTGCATATCAGGTCACACTGGTGTGTGTGTGTGTGTGTTTATAAATGCATATATGTGTTTTAAAAGAGATTTATAGAATATAGCAGCAGTGGGTGCAGCTCTGCCTGGCAGGGGAGTCTCTCAGAGCAGGTCCCTCAAGCCATGAAATCGTGTCTGCACTTGTTCAGGCTGTTAAACCCAAGTGTCTGAGACCTTCTCATCAATCRCAAAATATTTCCAGTTTGTAACTGGGACTGGTTTGTGTTTTATAATTTCAGGGGCAGCCAGGCTGTGTTTCCCTCTGTCCCTCTGTGCTGCTCTCCCATCCTGTGCTGCYCGAGGCTGTTCCACCTCAGCTGAACATCACACCTCGAGGCTGCTTTTGAATTTCAGCATTTTCCTGATCAGATCAGAGCCCTCATCGCTGTGACTTTCTGTCCTCAATCAAGACAGCTCCCATATGCTTTGAGCTGTAATTATTTGAGTCACATTGCAGTCGTTAAGAAGGTGTAGCCTGGAGTTTTCTGTGCATATGCAGGCAAATGCTTGTGGAATCAGACTCTAATTTCACAAATTAGTTTTGAGGCAAGACTCAGAAGGCAGGSAGGGTTTTATAGACTGAGGGGAAGRTGGAAAAAAGAACAGGTTTTTGAGAAAACTGAAGATTAATAGGAACCATCTGTAGGGCTCCAAGAGATTCAGTGGGGTCTAGACAGTTGCCCTTTCTTGCTGCTCCGATGTCGCATGTGACAGCGACTGGAGCCATATGTGAGCCACAAATAAACCCTTCCCAACTCGTGCCTTCCCTGCTTAAAGTTTAATCAGTCTGTTTTAGCTGGAAAAAGATGAATGTTTCGGAGGGAAAATGTCACACAAGCAGTGTATCAGTGTTCTGTCACGAGGTGTGGAACCCAGACACAGAGTGGGGATTAATTCCTTAATGAAACTGAGGGACAACAGTAACCCCAAAATGCCTGCTTATGTTATCATGGATAGATCTCAGCACTAATTCCTCCATATCCCAACCACTTCCTTTGCTCTGATTTTCTTTACTTCATACATTCCCTGTTGGGTTTTTGTTGGGTTTTGTTTGGTTGGTTGGATTTTGTTTTGTTGGGTTTCTTTTTGTTTTTAAACTGGATTTGTTTCCTCACCTCTGTTTCTTTTTATCACCTGTTTATCGTCTGTTTTTCTAGCATATGTTTTTCTGCTCTGCTTTTCCTAATTTACTTCTGTTCTTGCTTTTAGGCAACCAGGCGTGTTTCCCAATGCTTTGTGTACCTGCCTCTTTATCCCATGTGAATCTCAGCTTTAAAGGGACAAAAAAAACTTTGCTGCCTGTTTAAAAGAATCTCAAGAACAGTTTTAATTCAGGCAGACAGACTCGCCAGGAACTTTGATTTCATTTCCAAGATTGACTTCAATGTGAAGAAGCCAATTTTTGCTATATCATGTTTCTTGATTAGACAGGGTTTTTTGGGTAACATTTGAGAAAGACTGCAGGTTTGAAATTCCAATGTGAACAATCAAAAAAACCCCAAAACAGTAAGAAAAATAAAGAAATCATTATTTTAAAATGAAGGAAATAGAAGAAAGAGCAGGAAAAATACTTTTTTGCCTATGAGCTGGATCTAGTGCCAAATTGACAGTCATTACATGTTCTGTTTTGTCTTTCAGTGTCTTATGATCATGAAATTTGGTCATCAGCCACCTTCCCTGCAGAACTCCAAGCACCTTCTCCTGAAGAGCTGCTTTTGCAGCAACTTTTGGCATTTCTGGCTGTTTGAATTTTCCCATTCATGCATTCCAGGATCCTTGCATCTCCAAGGGAGGTGAGTGATGTTTTCAGTGGGCTGAAATGCAATCATATCTCTGATATTTCCATGCCATTACAATTGTGGTGCCTTGATACCAGCACTTTTTGAAACAGTGGTGAAGAAAAGTGAGATGTATGTAAGGGGAAGAACATTCTTAATAGTGCCATGAAATTGTAGGTGCAGAAAATGGAATTATACCAAATTCAGAGGGGTAAAAGTCTTGGAAATGCCTGTGTATTTTGTTTTGTTGAGTTGTTGTTTTTTTTTTGTTCTGAACAAACTGCATCATTAAGTGTTGCATTGCCATGAGAAAAACTTGTGCCCTTAATTAACATCAGGTTTTGTTATCGTGCCAGGATTAGCACTTTGTCAGTTGGTAAATAAATATCTGACTCGAATGTAATCAGTGACTTCAGCATTTACACATTGTAGAGCTGTCATAATATTGGGAAATTAGATTTTTCCTAGGCCAGTGCAAGCATTAACGCTCAATCCGTCACAAAGCTTAGGTGGGTCCTGACATGCTTTTAGAGATTTATACTGTAACAGKACATTTAGTAATGGCAATAAACTGACTAAATGTTATATTTCACTGTGCTGTGCATTTCCAAGGAGTTCTGAGATATTCGCTCACCATGTGAAGGAAATGCTCATAGATGGAAAGACATGAGATCTCTGAATTGGTCTCACTTTTAAATCAAATTATGTGYTATGTTAACAAATGGCAATCTCAASRGAGGCAGGGCAGAATAATTCAGCCAAAGCCAATGCTCTGAGTGCTGAGYTATTTCCCTTTGTAYCWCTGCAGCTTTTGKARMTGCTTTAAAGARCAGGRAGACTTTCTGCTCATTGGGTTTGGGGCCGTATTTCCGTTTTATTAGGATTTAGAATTGATTCCTCTTTTCACTGTGATGTATTAGAAGTTCAATTGAATGGAAACARGCAAAAATATTTTATTTATATATATATCTGTGTGTTTGTGAGTTATTGCCGAGCTTTGGAGCTCACACCCCCCAAGACAAACCCCTGCAGCAGCTCAGGGCTCCCTTGTCCTGCTGTCACCCTCCTGCTCACACTGTCCCTGACATTTCCCTTTGGGCTGGAGCAATTCCTGCAGGATTTCACTCCAAACTGCATCAGGGATTTGCTGTTTTCTTTTAC